AAGGACAGTTGTGTCAGATACACAAAGGTACAGTTCAGAATAGAATTCACATGACTAAAATCAAAGTAACCCAAAAGTAAGTTACTGAAAAGAGGCTAAATGACCGGATCAGATCAAAGTATTTAAGAGTACATAAAGAACCCAAATCACAAAACTCCCCAAGAAGCAAACTTCTTAAAGAACCAGAAGCCAAAGAAGCATTTTTTTTATAAAAAAAAAGTATATATAGAAAGATCTAAGGAGAAAAACAACAAACCAAGGAAAAGTAGTAGAATTGGACTCACAGAAGTAATCAAATGAGCTTTTTAGTGGCTAAGGAAGGAAGTACAGGTCAAGATTCAGATGGAGAGTGAAATGTGAGATGAATGTTGAAGGCGCTGATTAACCGGTTATAGCTAGCTTTATTGGCATGTTAGCCTTCACGAGGTATTTATATTGTATAAAATACTACAAACAAATGTATCATAATTAAGTGTGATCTTGTTCCTCTTCAAAATGCCACTCAGTTCTCAATGCAAGTTTCTAGTCGCTGCTTACACCAAAGGGGAGCCATTATTAGCCAAACACTTGTCCATTTCAACTTAATAAAAATAAAATAAAGTAAATAGATATGTCACAAGATCAAAATTTTAGATTTTTGTTTCTTCCCACCCTCTAGACTCCAGCTGTTGATCTTGATTGTTCGCTGGTCATGAAAAATGTTTTCACGGCTCTGCTTGCATCCTGAAGGGCTTATTTAACAGTTGACAGTAACATATTTCCTCTCCACTTGGACATGTTGCTACTTAACTGATAATGAACCTAGTAACCTTCATAAGTGTGATTACGATCTTCCATATTCATCAGTAGACAAGTTGTATACCTCTTTATGTAGTAACAAATTTGTCTTCATTTGTAATCGGATTCTTTTCATTGATCGCATGATTATAATAGCCAGTTGGTGCTCTGAACAATCATTTCATTTATTTGAACCTACGCTCAGCTTATTGCTAGTTGAGAACTTAAGATATTTATTTGAAGAGAAATAACCTTGTTAGCCACATGCGATCACATTCACTCAAACTCCGTTTTTCCTGGCGAGACCTTCCACACCACTAGTCCACTTTGTTTCCTTCTTGTTAATGTGCCAAGATAACATATATGGAGAAACATCCAACGCCAGACAGGATAAGTTTATTTGTACACTTTGTTTCTCATTATAACCACGTACTATTCAGTTTTCTTTTTCAGTGCTAGAAATGCCATGTTTTTAACCAGAAAGACAGCCACTGAAATTTCTGGCTGTACTTGTGCGTAGTATTGTCAGAATTCACCTTCTGCTTCCAGGGTTTCGGAGGTTTTCAATAATTGATTGCACTTTGATCAATCTGAAAAGTCATGAACATTCTTGTTAATTTCTTGAGCACCATTTTAGGCTATAGATCACTGACTAAAACCATTCGCCTTTTTTGGTTCTCAGCTGATCTCGTTGAAATCACTCTTGGAACTTGAATATATAGCTAATTACAACAAAACAAAGATGCTTTCTATACTAATACAATAATGAAAAAGCCAAATCTAAAAAAAAAAAAAAACCAAGAAAATAAGAAATAAAAAAATTTTCCATTATTGCTGCAAAGAATATCTCGAAAGTAGGCATATATTCTATCTGCAGTTCATTATTTTTTTCCATACATTATGATCATAGGAAAAGAAAACATTGCAAGATTTGCACAAGCTTTTTTCATTATAAACAGGACGATATATGTGCTGGCAGTTGCCACTGAAATAGTGAAATCTGATGAGAGCATGCACATAAAAAAATACTAGTAATAAAATCAAAGGATTCAAAAAAACCATTTATAATTGCTAGCGTTAATATTATTGATATCTGATGAAATTGCGTGGGGCCTAGTAGGTCATGTCCAAACAAGGAGATTCCTCAATCATGAATTCTATATCGAGAACCAACCTATAGATTTTGGACCGATACATCACCAAACCGCATGTACGGTTCTTATTTCATGCAGCAGAAACACCCCCATGTCGTGCCTTAACTTGTCCCATGAGCTCCATCCATCCATATCTTCGTTTGCAGCTATGGGGGCGTCCTCCTTCCAAATCTTCTGTTTTGTTCTCCAACTGCAAAATTCATTCATCTTTGTTTCCTATCTCAGTTTTTCACAGTACCCTTTGGTTTCCTCCACTTCATTTCTCTAGCTTTCTATCTTCTATACGTACAGCAAATGCAGCTTTCATTTTTTCTTACTCTCTAAGCTGAAGATCTACAACTGTTTTGGTTAACAAAAAATGCATGGGATTCACTGTTTCGGTCTCTCATAAAACAGTTGGCGTATCAAGAGATAATATACTATATGCAATGCCACACCGCAAAAAAAGAAGATATAAATCGATTGCTAAAGACAGATAATGAAAGGGACAGCTGGGCCATTTATGCTGTGATTTGATCAAATGCCACATCCCTTGATGTGGGACAGATTTCTCCATTTGATAAATGAAGCGGGGAATGTGTACCTTGACCGTACAAGTGGCTATTAATTAATGGGTGCTAGTTGTATATGAAGTGGGGATATTGGCAATTGAAAAACTAAAGCCCGTTGATTAAGTAATAAATAATCATAATAAGCATAAGCTCCAATTTGATTGTTTCTAATCGTCCAAGTGCAAGTGGAAGCGGGCGGTCCCCGCAGATGTGGAAAGATGATGGGAAATGGGCATTGGCCCATAAAAGATCAGGCAGGAACTAGCTGATAAGGAGAAGCGCCCGAGGCTATAATTATAGATGAACGAAAATTGAAAAAAAGAACAAAAAAATAAACAACAATGTATTATGTGACAAAATTTCATGTGGGATGCTGGTGAACCAAGGGTGAACCAAGGGTGCAAATTAAGTCTACTTTCTTGAGATACATGTGAATAAAACAGTATTACGTCGCAGTGGTCATGTCATCAATATCATGATTGCCAAATCATTAGTATTTACACATGATCTCAAAGTAAACAATTAAATATCTAATTAATCACATTATCATTAATTAAATATAAAAAAATTAAATCAAACATACAACTATTCTTTATATTCTCTCGTTAATTGCTTTTGCTATCTTCTCCTCTCTTGTTACTAGCTTCTTTTTCTCTCTTAAATATCTATTTTCTCTCTTTATAAATCTGACACACTCGCCAACTAACTTAAAACTAGTACTGTCCACACTAAACCATAACTGCGTCAACAAAGAGCTTGTCTCTCTTTATATGAACCACAAAAGCCAATGGCAAGTGACTAAAGCCAACTGGGGAGAAATTTGCGTTGGATTCTTGACTCTTTGGGTTGAGGATGATCCCATTCGATCTTGCACTCGTCTTCACAAGCTTAGTTTGAAAGGCCTCGAACGAGCAAACTAGCATTGTTACAAGGCAGGAACAGAACAATAAAGAATTTGAAGATTTTGAAAACATAGTTAGGCTCTACTTAGTCATTATTTCCTAAAGACCTCTGCTTTTTGGTTGTGCCTTTGCAGTCAGCAGCCATTGGCTTGAGAAGATTTGTATATGAACAGCTTCCCCGTCAAATATGGTAATAATTGGTCCGAAGTTGTAGTGTGCACTTTGAACTGGATTCTTGAGGCTACAGATGCGCGACCAGCCAGCCAAGATACTAGTGTTAGATGTAGATCCAGAAAATTTACCGAAAACGGAAGCCCATTTTCAACTGACAATATACAGGCTCATTTTCTGAAAAGTAGTCCTAAAATCAACAACCGAGGATTTGCCTGATCTTGTAGTTTTTCACTATTTCCCCTGATCTCTCTACACATCAAATCACGAGTATCGTTTGTGGAATAATCACAAATGTTGTGGAGGTTTGGGTTCTTTCACAAACCCACTTACAAGCTTTTCACCTTGTTAGTTATCCTTTACACCTAACTAAATGCATCTCTCTACATCCTGCCATCACATACATACACTACCTTCTGCAAGCAGAAAATGACTTTGATTTTGTAGTTCACGACTCCCCGAAGTCTTAAAACTAGCAGAAAGTGGCTCATTTTCCATTTCAGGTAAAACAACAGTTCGAACCAGACTATGCTCAAATGGATCCTAATCAAATTTGTCTTCTGAATATGAAAGATAGGAGACAAGATATTAGAACTAACAGGGAAGCCTTACAGGTTTTGAATCTTCTTAACAATCCAAAATCATTCAACCCATTTCCCCAAATAATGCTTCTCAGAGTTTTTACAGTTGCATTTCCACAAAATCCCTCAAGTTTTCACTACACAGAAAGAGGAATTGGCACTTTAAGCCAGAAAGTCAAAATTGCCACTCAGTTGGCCTCAATTTTCCTCCCCAAAAAACAATAAACAAAAATATAACAATAAGCATGCAATATGGCATTTAAGATTAAAAAAACTAAACCACATATCAGTCAGGAACCAAATTTGGAAAAGGACTGAAAGGTGAGTACCCAAAAGTATACCAACAATGTCTGAAAAGTCTCCATTAAACCAGAAAAATAGCAGGAGACTGAAGCTCACACATTCTAGAAAAGTGGCTGGAGAAAAGTCTTAAATATAATAAATCATTTGTAGAAGCAAAGGCAATACTACATAGAACTAATTAAGCAAAAACATAACAAAAGATCTAGGTGTTTGTCGCCCTAGTGTAAATCTGCTGGCTCGAATGGGCAGACACCAACCTAATCAACCCTCTTGCCATCAATTCCCTTATAGCCTTCCTTGCAAGTGATCCATTGATCTGTGAAGTTCATGCAAAACCAAATTACACAAAAAGCAGAATGCAGTCTTCATATAGAGTTCACACATGCATCTAGATTCTAAGCAGACATATATAAAAGAACAGCAACCTGACTTAGGACTAACATCTAACTCTATCCCACAAGTGTAGGAAGAAAACCTCATAGAAACATACATTTTGCAAGAAGTATGTTTCACACAGCATCAACATACATTAATCAGAAAACAAATACTCATGCCAAAGGCATTTTAGATTGCAATTCAATGCTTTTAGCTGCCCTTATGATAGCATTCTATTTCTGTTAGCTTACGTTAAAACAAGCCATTCAAGTATTCACTAGAGAATAGCTAAGCAGCTGGATAAATCCATGAGAGATATCCCATTATCTATCCACGTGGCAATCAGTAAGTAAAGTCTAAATAGGAGGTAGTCAACACTAAAGGCCCTAGCAGATTTTTCAGTGATAATTTTATTTCACAAGAAAATGAGCAATGCACGGCAACAAGACATATAACCAAGTAAAAAACTTAGATCTCCGCCATCCAGACAGGGGACAACACACATCAAACTAGAATCTAATAGTATGACAAATGTAAGAGCAAGGCAAACATCATCCAGCAAAACAATCTATACAAAAAAGGGAAATAATAACCAAAACAAATGATAAACATAAAAGGAGGTAAAAACAAAAAGTACCCTCAAACGATCAGAGAGAATAGAGGGAGTGATGAGCTTGTATTTAGGAGCTTCAGAAAGAAGCTTGTCATAGGTAGCCTGGTCAAACAACACCATGTTGTTCACCTTCTCCTTTTGCTTTCCCTTGCTCCACTTCTGTTAACACAACAAAGGAAAAAAAAAAAAAAAACAGAAACCCTCTTCTTATCTAACTCTAAAAAGCAGAAAATCAACCCCATTAAAAACATAATAAAGGAAACATATAGTAACAAAAAATGACCTTCTTCTTTTGCTTGCCACCTCCAGACTTTGCTGGCTTGGAGGAAGGAGGAGGGGCTTTTTCTTTCTTTGGGGCCTGCAAAAGCAAACCAAAAATAAGTTAGTTACCAATCTAAACCAAAGAATAAAGAATCTGATGTATTCAGGAATAAAGAGAGGGAGATGAACCTACCATGGGATCAGCACGAAGTAAGGAAGAAAGGGACTGGGAGGATCTGTGTGCGACGAGACAGAAGGAATGCGAGCTGAAAGAGAGCTTTTCAGTTTTTCTAACCCTAGGGTTTTTGGTTGCTGCTATTCATGACATGCAAACGCCGTCGTTTAATTCTCAAAGCGTAACCTGAGTACCTAACCTACCTCGGCCCAATGTTTTGCTAAACGGGCTCACCTGTGACAAACAGAAGATAACAGGCCTAAAGCCCATTCTCAAATTTTAAAGCATATTTACCATCCTATTTTTTTATGAGATAAAGTTTAAATTTATCATTAATATTTTAATTGGTGAAATTTTAGCATCCTGCTTCTAATTTTATAACATATTTACGGACATACTTTTCATTTTAGAATATTTAAAAAATATTTAGTAAAATTTTATGTTAGAAGCTATTTTACAATTTAAAAAATACTTTTAAAAATGACATGATAGGAAAAAAAAATAGTGCTAAAATATTTTTTATTTTGTCAGGACATTTTTTACTAAATATAATATCCTATGTCTTGAAATTTTCTTGTCATTTTATTGATATTTTTTACTAAACATAATTTCACATCTTACTGTTTTAGTTAACTTTGATTTTTTTTTTCCCTTGTCATTTTCAATTTTTTTTAATTATAAAATAATTTTTAACTCAATATTCTACGGAATATTTCTTAACTATTGCATTTGGATCAAATTCATTTCGAAATTAAAAGTATGGTAATAAAATTGTACCAGTTAAAATATTAGAAAAATAATTTTTATTTTTATCATCTATGAAAAGGTTGAAATATTATCTTATTTAGAGAAGAAAAGAATTTAAAATACCCTTATGTGGGAATAATACTAATTTTAATTTATTCATCATTTGTATATCCTGTCCTCCTTTTCCAGCTAGTCTAAGCTAAAGCTCCGTCATTGAAATTTATTAATGTTGCCGACGACTAGGAATTCCTTGAAAGGAACAGCCTTTGGTTTTTAAAGTATAGTAATGGAATTTATTTTTGAAATTTCTAAAAAAACTAGAAAAATCATGAAAAAGTATAAAAATATATAACCATAAAACAAGTAAAAAACATACTTAAAAGACAAATTAAACATAATATTTTGAATGATTTATTTTTATTTTTATTTTACCGAAAAGATTTTATTTAACGGTTCCCATAATTTTCAAATTTTAAAGGTTTTATTTTGGTTCAAATTTCATCTAATTTTTATATATTTCAAAATTAAATTATCTTTCAATTCTTGATTTAATCGATTCAATCGATCCATCCGATTTTAAGATAAAATGAATACCTTGTCCTGTTATTTTAGTATTATATTATTAATTAGGTGAAGGTTGTTAACTTGATAGTCAAAATTATGATTGGTTCCGGTCAAGAATTGGTATTGGTAGTAGCAAATAATTGGTGAAATAAGTTAAACAAATGGTGTATTAATGATTTACGTAGATGAATGGTTAGATTGATTTCAATGAAATTAAAAATAATAATAATATTTATTATAATTGTGATTAAAAAAATTATTTTAATTATGATTTAAAAAAATTCATAAAAATTATATGCCAAATGAATTTTATCGAAATTAAATTTAGATTCAACTGATGATATAATGAGTTCAATTATATTAAATTAAAAATATAATAGAATCCAAACTCCTACTAAAATGCTCTTGGGTTTATTGCCATTGGGTTTCATGTATTATTATGTTTTCTGATACATGGAAATATGTTACTGTAATTTCCTTACTCGACACCATAAATTTCTTGTCAAATAATTGGTTTTGTTTTTCATTATAACCGCCACATTAACCAATGAAAGCGGGGGATTGAGATGAACAGAACTCCATTCTTGAACTCTGCCTTGATGTTATATCCGTTACAGCTCTCGGGGAGCTGGAAACAAGTACAACAGGAACCACAGCCCCTGATCGACCAACAATCATCTTCATCTTGCTTTCTGCACTGTCCCTTGATTACCGGTGTATCGACCTTCAAGGAGTCCTTAATATCCCCCATGGAGGCTCCATCGAACTGTATTTTGATTTCATTTTCACCATATTTGATGTCCCTATGCATACGCCCCTCTCCTCCTGAACAGCTCTTATCGGTCAATGTCATGCCATGCTTGAATAGCATGGGCATTTTCTCTATGATGTGATTAATTTTCCACATTGAGGAGCAGTCTTCCAGCCTATGACCAACGGTTAATGTTAATTGTGGAAAAGAAAAAAAGATACTAGAAGATTGAATGAAAAAAAAAAATGTACAGATAGATAAAGTTAATATATAGAACCCTTTATCGCAATTCGCAAGAGAAAGCACTAAGATTTATATAAAACAATAATAAATTAAACATCATATTTCATAATTTTGAGGTTGATTGTATGAAAGAATAAAGAAGAATCATGTTAAGTGTTAGATTTCGAATTTTCTTACGCCATTCATTTATATTCACCATAATATTTTTATCTATTTTTGTGATCTTCGTATCAAAACAGTCAAATTTACGTATGAAATGATATATATATATATATAAATATATAATTAATAACAGGAATATTTTGGTTTTTTTTTTTTAGCAAAAGAAGCAAAAGCAAGTCCATCCCCACCCTTTAGAGTAACAACCCCCATTGATGGGTTTCTCACATTTCTGGCATTGTCTGTGGCTGGAGGCCAGAGATGTGCACCGGCAAAACCTTGACCATGTCCCTTTTGCATTTGACTTCCTTATTTCTGCAAATGATCAAATGATTAAGTATGCAACTTTGCTTGGTGAACATGTAAAAGAATGCCAATTGGGTTTTTGGGGTTGATCAATTCCCTTTGTCTAAAACTTGTATACGCCAAAAGATTGTATCATTCCCCAATACCCATAAAAAATAAAGAAGTTGGCAAGGAGTAAAGTGCATTGACATTGAAAAGGTGCATGCTTACTGTCGTAACGATTTTTTGTTTGGGAGGATTCGATTGTTAGACTTGATAAAAATTTTCGGAGTCATTATCAATCTTTTTATAGGGTATGATTGACCACCTAAAATATCATCTTTTAGTAAAAAAAATTTTAAAATTAATTAAAACTTACTAAAATAAGTTTAGGTCTGTGAAATTAAGACTAGGTCCGGAAGTACGGTTATAAGTGAGAAAAATATTAACACTTTCACGTCGTTCATTCGAAGAACGGTATCATTTAAACATGTGTAATCCTATAATTTTGATAATCGGGTCTTTTTTTATTTAAGTTTAATTTTTTTTTATAATGCCTCTTGCTTTGAAGCTGACTTCTCTTATCTGTTCTACTAGATGAGTGGCTTGAAATTCTTTCAACTGATATTTTTCCTTCCAATACTGTGCTCTATGTTCAAATTGATTTCGTTCCTCTTTCAAAACTTGAATGGCTTCACGTCGATAATGCATTTGCTGTTTCAAGTCATCTACGAGACCTTGTAGTACTTTATTTTCTTCCATAGATTGACTAAGCTCTTCTTCCTTAGATAATAAATTGGACAGAAATTGTTCTATATTTTTTTTGGATTTTTCAAACTCTGAAGTCATTATGGCTATGGATTTATGCCAACTTTTAGAGATCTTTTCTTGTTCTCTTTCAAGCTTTCGAGATTTTGCTTCACTCTTATCAATCTTGTCTTTCCACTCATTAATCTCATGCTGAAGCCTCTTCTTTTCAAGCTCTCATATTTCTTTTTCTTCTTCAAATTTGCACTTCATAATCTTCATATCCTCAGGAATCTTTTCACAACGGATGTCTTTTTGGTGGCATGGTCTGTTTTTTTATGACCAATTTTGCTTGTGACCCGTTGACTTCTCCATATAAGATATTCAGGTGTGACTTTGTCTGTATATCCCCCACGATCTACTCTTCGAATCTGTTTCCACTATTTGATAATCTCTTTTATCTTTCTCAAAAATCCTGATTCTTCAAAAGAAAATTTCAATTCTTGAAGCCTAAGAGTCATTAGGACAAATTGCTCTGACCTTAATTATCGACGAACCAGTGTCAGAGCACAGCTTATACCTCCCTACAGTCCTAAGAATGGAACCCATGGCTTGTCACCACACCTGTATAACATGGCTTCTCGTGGCATTCATGGAGCTCTCTATATAACCTGAGCACTAGTGAGATCTTGCAAAATCAATACCCATTCTTCATTGGTCTTTGATTTTGGCCACTCAACATTGCAGCATTCTTCAATTGGCCTACTTTTATTACTATAAATAGGATAAAATTTACCCATAGGATGTTGAAGATGACTTTTTAGCCAAATTTAGAGTAACTGTACACACTTTATAAAGCGTCATTCTCTTCTTTGGCAATGATTCAATAATCTAAAGGTCTTTGCCAGTATAGAAGAAACATGATTAATTTTATTATCCATCTGTTCGAGAAAGTCAATCACTGATACTTCAATGTGCCCTAGGACCTTTGGAAAGATGATCAAGCCATAAACTACCAAAGCTATCATTCTCATGCCTCATCATCCTCTAAGTGTTTGATGATGTAATCACGTAAGATTTTCTACGGGAAGCAATCACTTTTGCCTTTTCTTTGGATATACGAGTTCACATTCTAAGTGGAGACCTCCATTATACAAGCGAGTTTCTTTCGAGATCCAAGTTTTTGACCTCGCTAATAGATTTTGTCTGGATTGGAAAGATGCAACCATAACAATATAGTACACTCTTTGATTGTCAAGGTTATATCTATTTCGTTGAAAATGAAACATCTGTATGTAGGATCCTAAAACTGAACTAAAGCTCTTATCAACTGATTTTTCGTAGCCACCTCAAGCAGTGAAGCAATATGACCGTATTTTTCCTCGAAAGCCATCTTTTTAAAAGTTGTTACATAGTGCCAAATCTTGACCAATTCAGAGATGTCATTTTGCTGAAGTCCCAACTTGATTTCTTTAGGCAAAATTTCTTGTTCAGATTCTTTCAAACAATTTCTCATTCTACTTTGGGCTTATAATAATAAAGCTATCACCACATTGGTCTCTTCACACACAATGAGCTTCAAAGCTGAAAACATCATGATAGTATTTTTGAAGCAAGACTGAAAATCTTCTTACTGATATTGGCGTATTGATAAGCACATCTCATATGTGAGTGTTTATGATGATGCATGATCATGAAACAAAAGAAAGCAAAACAAAATAGGGTTAGTAATCACATTAAAATAAATATTCCCTCATGTGTCCTAATTTACGATATAATAAAAAATGGTATGGCCCTATCCAAGGTTGGTTTCTTAAGATTCACTATATGCATGATTTGGTAATTAACATAAGCTAAAAAGGTTCCCAAATTGATCCTCACTGTCATCCACTTCGGACTAGTAAGGCTCCCGAACCTCACTCATAACGGGCTACCGATGGAAAGAGTTCAACTTGAGTGAAAGTATTTCGCTAACCCATACAGAGGCATTATAACCTCACAAAAACGTAGGTATTCTACTCATTCCTAAAAAGGGATAGATTTGAGAGCCCGAGTATAAAGCTTATGCATGAATGTAAATGTGCACGTGTGTGAGGGAATGTAACAAATAAAATTAACAATATAATTAGCAATAATATAAAATAATAACATATCAAAACCAAATGAAACAAAAAAAAAAAACAATTTTAATATTTGGAGATAAGAAATTAAAATTAAATATCGAAAAGATCATAAAATCAAAATTTGCATGACACATGTTTAATTTTTTGCTTGACTCTCACATCTCTCCAGTGGAGTCGTCAAGCTGTCATAACGATTTTTCATATGGGGGGACTCAATCGCTAGACTTAGTGAAAATTTTCAGAGTCACCACCAATCTTTTTATAAAGTGTGATTGGCCACCCAAAATACCATCTTTTAGAAAAAAAATTTTAAAATTAATTAAAACTTATTAAAAGAAGTTTAGGTTTACGAAATCAGGACTAGGTCCGAGAGTACGGTTAAGAGTGAGGAATGTATTAACACCCTCACGTCATCCATTCGAAGAACAATACCATTTAAACATGCGGAATCCTATAATTTTGATAACGGGGTCATTTTTTATTTAAGTTTAATTTTCTAAAATTTATTTTAAAACATTTTTCTCTATTTTGAAATTAATATTATTATTATTATTTCGTATTCTATAAATTTTTCAACGCTTTGGTGGAATTTATAGAAAATTACTATTTAAAAAATATTTCGAAAAAATTGACCATTCACAAAATTCTCGAAACTTTATCATAAGATATTTTAAGTATTTATTTTATAAAAAAGATTTTAGGAACATCTCGACTCTTTGGTGAGTTCTTAAAATTTATAACAAATTTTAAGATTATCTCAACTCTTCGGTAGAATCTAAATATTATGATTATTTTAAAATTTTGTATTACTTATTCTTTGATTATTATTTTTTTTATAAAAAAAAATTTAGATTATCCTGACTCACCGATGAAATCTAAATATTAATCTCTTGTTTAAAAAAAAATCGAACTCTTTCAATTTTCTATATGTATATAAATTTAAAAAATTCAAGATATCAGTTATTATTAATTTCATTCTTTATTATTTTTCATTATTATTTTATATTGTTTAAATCAATATTTGTTTTAATAAAAATAATTTTTGATTATTCCAATTCTATGGTGAAATTCATAAAATTATTTTTACTTGCAATAATTAAAGAAAATTAAACTCTTTTAGCTTTCTCTAAAAATTACATTTAAAAGATTCATTTAAGCAATGTATTTTTTATTTATTTTATTTTTACTTTTTAGCAAAAATTATTTTTTTTTTAAATCCCAACACTTTGGTGAAATTTAAATAATATTTTTGCTTGTAATAGAATTTATTTTCTTTAAATAATTATTATTATTAAATTTTTTATTTATATATTATATTTTTTAGATCTTTATTTTATTTCAGTTTCATTTTTATTCTATTTATTTATTTGTTTCTAAAGAAATAAAAATTATTACTAGTAATAATATAAAATAATAATAATAATAACAACAATAACATTATATAAAATATAGCATAAAAATAACATAAAATAAATCAAAATCAAAACAGAAAATAAAAAAAAAAAAAGAAAAACCTATGAAACGGGTTGGGTCAACGCGAGGGTCCTGCACGAGTCGGGTTCGATCCAGACGCCTAAAACGACGTCGTTTTGGAGGACCTATAAAAGGCATGTTTTAGTTTTTTTCTCTTTCCCCTCTCTTTCTATTATAGAGCCTCTCTCTCTAAAATCCCAGCACCCCTAACCGGTCGTCGTGATAACCCAGTTTTTGATCGGGCGTCATTGTGCACCGGTGGCCAAAACTTCAACGGTGCCAAAAAATTCAAAGATCCCTAGATTTCGGTGGCCAAAAAATTCAATTATCGTCGAAAAATTCAAAAAATTTCAATTCCGATGACCCAAAATTTTTTTAAAAAATTCTCAAAAATT